ATGCAACACTATCAGGATTACTCGGTTCCAGTCTGAAAAAGGAAAATAATGTATAATATAGGGTAAACATTGAAATATTTTAAAATGGTATGCTTGAAGCTTACCATTAACTTCTCTCATTGCWGCGTCAATGTCAGCTCCAATTCTCGATGCCACGACACAGAAAACCACTATTGGAGTTTGAGGGTCTTTTATATCTGGTCTCCAGGTCCTCTCACTTAACGRTGATCTCTCGATAATTTCGTTCTCCACATCACGAACACTATCTTGCTCGCATCGCTTCRCCTGYRCGACGGCTAAATTGCAGCAAATAAGGATCAATATACAGTATGCTTATAGATGATTTTATGATATTTGCGCTTTCGTGAATTTTATTCAGCAAGTGATTTTTGRCAATTTTCTATTCTCGCTTTTAAAAWCAAATAGCGGCCTTTAATTTCCCGTGTCAAAACGCCTTTAGAATGATCAAAGCGTTTACTGACCTGCAGGAGACGTAAGTAAGCTTATGTAYCGGACACCATTATGAAATTCGATTAAAAGTGGCTCCAACAACCCACCCTTCTGTCGCTTGTACCGTTTACAAAGCCAAAACAACAAGATAAACAGAAGGAGAACAAAAATGACCAGAARARAAATCCATATCCCTCGATTGTTGTCTTCACCGCTAGTCATGGCGCCAGTTACAAGAATCTGACTTCTTAGAATTTGCGACTATCAATATTTTCTCTATTTCCCACAAATCATTGCAGTCTTGAATTTGAACAATAAATCAACCTAGTAATACTCACAAGGTTTTTCATAAAGTTCGATACGAAGCTATGAAATACATCGTTTATTACTTCGAGACGTTATACTTTCAAGTACTTTTCGAATATCCAGTCCCACAACACTGTTAACCTATTAGTTTCACCACCGCCTACGAGTATAACAATCTACAGACGCACGAGGGCTAGTATGTGTATTCTAAATCCCATAAAATTGTGGAATTCTCAAGTAGCTTTTATGTTTACTCCATAACAATTTAGCAACTTTTCCTATAGTTCTCAATATCGATACCTTTCTTTTCCTTGGGTTGACAAGTATAACAGCAGACCAAAACATCAGGTATAGCTCGATGGCAGTTTCGGAACAGCCCGATTTCGTTGTGCTTACAGCATATTAAAACGATAAGCAAAACTAGTGCTAATACTACCAAGGRAACGACGATAGCAACAGTATCCGAGTCACTCATATTAGAGCCAAGCGAAATACAATTCAAACATCACTTTCTGGGGCGTATCATAACTTGATTTCTCGGAATCGTCAGAATAATGAGGTATGCAAATAAAAAATAAATAAAAAAAACACACACTCAGACGCTTTCACTGACACTGCTGCCAAAACAGAATAATTCGTACGTTGTGCGTATGCAGTAGGATCTAACAAACAAACAAAATTCGACATAACCTATAGGCACATGTAATAATGTGAATTAAGATGATAAGGACGAAAATATATTTTTTATAAAGTTTTTATATAAGTGATTAGGAATGCCTTTAAACAATAACTGGCCCGTGCGTCAGTCATTTCGAATGCTGTAGTAGTAACCATCACGACTATTCCACCATGTACGACATAGTTGTATAATGAACATACATCTACGTATACTATGGTTTATGCCCGGGGGGTACTCGACCACGTTTTGGATAGGTACGTGCCGCCAGCGGTCTAAATCCCTGACCCTGTTTAAGACGCTAAAAAGTAAAAATCCATACCCTGTTCAACACAAATCGGAAAAATAAGGAATAGCTATCTACTCCGCAACCATCAAAACTGCAATTATATTGACATCCATCTTAGACAATTAGAAGTTTTTGATAACACGTTAATCCTGGGACAGTGAAACGGTATTTCTACTATTTCTACGTGTTTTTTGTGAAAATATTACCCTGTCCAAGACACAAAAAAAAAATTATATCGGTCTTTTATCTAAATTGTAGAGCCTGTTTAAGACAATTTCGGGTGAAATGTATACCCTGTTTAAGACAGCAAGACCGAAAACCATACCCTGGCCAGCGGCACGTCCCCGTATTCTCTACTTGCACATACCCATAATACCTTCTGATTTTGGGGGGTAGTTATTGTTATTGAAATCATTTATATTTGAATAACACTTGATTTTATTTGCATTACAAAACCTACCCCCCAAAATCAGAAGGTATTATGGGTCATGTGCAAGTAGAGAATAGCAAATATATGGGAGTATTCCCCCCCCCCCCCCCGGGGATTTATGTGATGAGAAAACACACTTTTCATACAGGGTCCAGGGACTGAGTCAAACCTATTAGCTGTATTGTTTGTAATGGATAACCGGGCCGATTTGATACCAATCTTTTACACGATTATAAGCTTTGAATACTCCAACGCTCTATTGATAAAATTTGAGATTTTTTTATCATAGTTTAAAAGGAAGTACATATCGTGTGAAATCATCCAAAATAAATCTTCAATATGTTCCTAAAAAATTCATTCAGTAATGATATGTGCAGTGGCTAATGTGTTCTTGTAGGAAATCCCCAAAAACATGTTTCACTTTTCTCGAAAAATAAAAATTGCGTGGCATAGTGAGTCCCCATACACAAATAATATGAAAAAGGAGTTGTTATTATCGAGGAGCCATTTTATCATATCAGTATAATATATATCTAAGTCAGTTTTTGAGAAGGGAGCTATGTTTGTAGTCTTGTTGCATAGTGTTTTTTTAAAACTGAATTGTTCTGGACTCCATTCAAAAGTACTGACCATGGATTTGGGAGTAGAATCTTGAGATTTGCTAATCAAGTCATTTGTCAGATAAAGTTTCATGCATGTGACCAAATAATCCAGTTCCAAGCCTTCATAGCGTTCATAGCTCTTGAATGGTATTAGTTATGTATAAGTTTCGTTAAGGTATTTTTAAAATGTTCTACTCATTGGGTATTGATTTTCAAACATACTCTGAATAAATAGCCTAAACTGAGCGATCAACAAATAATCAAAACGTATTATTATATACTGATAAAATAGGTCCACCGATACTTGTTTACCCTTACTATTCTATATTGGGCGAAGCTAAATAAATGGCAATATACAATACTTTAGGTTTACTAGTATCTAATGATAACAGACAAAGATTGTCGAAATGTCCGTCCATCTTGTAGGACTCAGCGCGCATTTACGGGGATTTATGACTTGTCTTTCCTTCTTTCTCGGATTGTTGATCCTTTTTTTTACGGAGATGGTCCTCAGCAGCACYAATCATGCAGCGCAGTGCATACAACAGAAGAATATCCATGTTGTCGTCAAGATCACAATCTGTACTATAGTTGATAACGGGAWATATCTGGTTTCTTGGCAAACCATGTACCATCTTGTGTACCTTGTCCACGCGTTCTTCCAAGGGTCTACTGTGAAAGGTTTTGGTTATGTCATCTAYAACTTCAGGGTGGAACTCATCCACATGGGTCAGTAGAACAACAATAGGTATTCCTGAAACAGTTCGTTCAAAGTCTAAAATACCAGCAATTTTCCATAAGATCGAAATTCATCTACTGAACATATATCAGAATAGCATAATTTTAGTTCTATTGCATAGGAATGTTATGGATYGAAACAAAGAAAATTCTTTAATCTCCTGTTAATATATATAGAATATGCCTTATCAATGCAACACAATACAATAGACGGAAATAATGTGTACAGAAAATAGCATATTAGTATCAAAGAGTGTATYCAAAACTATTAAATAACTTCATAAAATGTAGGACTTTTTATTTTATTTGACTTTCATAGTGAGTTTGAAGACAGCAACTGTTTAAGCGTTTGATGTGGAAGCTTTATCAATGTTTAATTTTTTTCTGGACCCACCTCGTTCGTAAAGGCCATCTCCCAATCTTTGCAATTTACGCACCATGTCATTGTTCATGATTGAGGCATCATTGGCATTGATCACAAGAGCTACACAGTGAGCTCTATCTTTAAGTTCAGGGTTTTGGATATACTCTGAACTGGTCGAAAGGAAYTCCTCATTCCGATTGAACTAAAAAAGAAGAAACTATCTGTTTTGGTTTATAGAGTGGAATATTGCCTACACTAAGGGACTGGCCATTATTTGTCRGGATGAGGGTCCTGATACAAATAGCGGGTGGGTCAGATTTTTTCATGTAGCGGGTCAACCAGCAACCCCCTCCCTAAGAATAATGTCCAGTACCTAATATCATCTAAAACTGCTGGGAACTGATGTATAAATGCATTTACCTTATGACCATTTGGTACATGTCCGTCCACTACACTCAATATATTCGTGATATCAGCTTCACTGGTCTCTGGTTCCATACCCATTGTGTCACCAATCCTGATGCGAGGGTTGTGTTCCAATTTATACATGTTGAACTAAATGAACAAATTATGACAGTTTTTTATGTCAATAAACTTGTTTTTGTGATATCAATAAAACTTCATAGTTCTGTGAAAAGGTTTACCTCTTTAGTAAAGCTCTGTCCTTTTTCCCCAGCAGCTGCTTTAGTAGGACGGACGAAATCTTCAAAGATGCTGTTAATACTGTTATAGAAGCTAGACTTTCCTGATTTGACTTGCCCAGTGAGTATGATATTAAAAGTTTGCAAATTAAGAGTCAGGGGATCAAAACTCTTAATTTTGGACATCAATTTATTTCTTGTGCTGGAATACAAAAAAGTGGAGCATGTTAAAGCAAATATTATTAGTGTACCTACGGTGTTTCGGTGCCATAAGATTATCTCATGTTCTTAATAAAACGAGCTTCTCCACACCAGTAATGGTATAAATGCAACATGCTTAGACAAATTAGGATTCGAATTTCTAAGAGTTAGCTTCGATGTATCGCATKTTTGCGACGGCAAACAACGAGTTTTTCAATAGATGTATCTGAACAAAAACCTAAAAAAGCATAATCGAACATTTTCTTTGATTATAGAGATTGGCATTAGTGATCAGTAAGCAATACCCTTCCGGACAGAATCTAATGAAATTCATTTTTCCAGTYTTTCTAATGTCAAAAAAGCAATTAAGATACAGTGGAATGATGCCCATCATACCTTTCATTCCATCCTCCTYTGATCTTCCTCCACGGTTTCTCTTTGAACGGACTTACTACTGGAGGTTCTGGCTTTGATTCTACTTTTTGTGGCTTTGAACTGTTACGACCCATCCTATAAGGGATGTCATGTAGCAGAGTACTGTTCGTAAATTCATGATAATAATTTCACTTCAGCATTTATCAACGCTGGGACATCGCGTCCTTAGTAACGCTTATTTGTATAACCAACTGCGTGCCATCACAAAATGCAATGATTTTCATGCATCTGGTTACCTTGCTTAACGTTCCTCTGAGTTTGTCTCTGGATTTGATCTTGCAAAGGTTTTGGTGCCTTAGTATAAATTAGTAGTTAGGATTTAAAGTTAAGAATAACTGGAAAGGGTGCTGTACATTTTGAAAACCTCTTGAGAAAGGACTGGGGATTCTTGGAATTGTAACTGTTTAATAAACTAAGCCAGTTCTTGGAAGAGCGGRAACATAAATGATGACAAAATTGAACCGAACAATGACATTGCACCATTCCTTTTAGAAAGGTCGATAAAAACTGAAGTGAATATATTCAACGTTTAGTCAGACACTCGCTTCACAGCAAATATCAAGATGATTTCTTTTGGTTCACTAACAGACCCGTAGGCTAGGGGGGTTAAAGCAGTCTTTTTTTATTGTTCTATTTTAAAATTCTTTTGTTGTGAACTGTTTTGGAGTATTTTTTATGAACTGTTCATTCTAGCAGCCGGTTCTCACACACTATACCTGCATTGAACTAATTTAGTAAAAATGTAACATTTGTAAGGCAGTCTACGCGACTAATAAGATGTTGTTGATGAGAAATATTGTGCATTTTTGATGCAGGATCCTCGGTATCAATTAGCATTCAGTTTCAATGAACTCGCCAAAGAAGACAAGCTAGACAACCACTAATTTCCCTTTCTATAAGTTAATTTTATAGGGAAAGAATAACGCAGATGCTGCCCGCGTATATTTCACGGTGTGTTTTGGTTTCGTTGGATATTTGGGTTAAAAGTCTTTTTTTTTTTTCCATTGCTTGGTCAAATTAATCGAGCTTTCGAAATCTGAAACATGAATAATGCGCAAGAATACGGATAAAATACCAATTTTTATTTTTATTTTTTTATTTTTTTTGCCACTATATACATTCCAACCCTCTTCAGTTGTTAGCTTCGTTTAACAAGAGTTATCAATAATTCTCAATTTTTGTGATTCTTAAAGCCCTTACACTGATATAAACTGATAACCGATAATAC